GGTATACACCCCCCATCCCCCCCACCCACCTTACCCAGGGAGGGGGGTCCCCCATCGGGTATACACCCCCCCATTTTCCCTGCCCACCTTACCCAGGGAGGGGGGCTCTGTCCCCCCAGCTCCCTGCCCACACACTGTTTGGGGGCACGGGGTCTCCAGGCGCTGCGCGAGACGCTGGAGCAGAAGGAGCTGGAGCGGGCGCAGCTGGCATCGCTCTGCGCCATGGCCCAGGACGCCTGGCGCCGGCAGGACCAGACCCGGGCGCTGGCACTGAAGGAGCTGGAGGAGCTGGTCGCTGCCCTGCACGCCGCCCTGGCCAGCAGCACCAAGGACCTGGAGGTAGGGACCCCCTCCCCCGCCCACGTTCGCCCCGGGGGCCATGCAGAACAGCGGCTGCAACAGTGGTTCCTGGCTCCCGCGTGATTCCTGGTCGGGTAGAACACGCGTTGCAACAATTCGTTCGCGCCTGCCGGCTGGTCCCCCCTCAGAAACGCCCTTGGGAATTCAGTGTTCGCCCCCCGTCTCTGATCGGTGATGTCTAGAACACTGATTACAACAGTGGCTGCTCCTGCCTCAGTTTCCCCATGGCTTTCACCCCCCACGGCAGTTGTCACAGAGACCATCAGTTGCAACAACGTTTCCCACCTTCTAGCTCTTCCCAGCGGGCCAGGTGCTGATCAGAACATCAGTTGCAACAGTGTGTCCCCATCTCAGCTCATTGTGTCCTTGGGCAGGCGCCGTGTACCCCACCGTGGCTCTCTCCCCACAGGTGCTGGCCGAGTCTCTGGCGGCCCCGGCCCCGGCGCTGCTGCAGCGGCTGCAGGAGCAGGAGGGGCTCCTGGCCGAGGCACTGGCCGCGCGGGCCCGGCTGGCTGCGGAGATGGAAGCCCGGCTGCAGGGGGCGCTGGCGGCGCAGGCGGCCGCAGAGCAGCAGCTGCAGGTGAGGGAGGACGCGGGGCGGGGGGGTTGTTGCTGGTGGAGGGGGGCAGGAGATGGGGCAGGGTTGGGGGCACTACCGTGGGCAGACATGGGGCAGTAATTCTCATTCCGCCCCCCCAGGATCAGATGCGTGGCTGCACCCAGGCGCTGGCCGAGCGGGCGCGGGAGGCGGGGGCCCTGCGGGGGCGCCTGGCCCGGCAGGAGGGGGCGCTGGCCGAGGGAGCCGCCGCCCTGGTGCGGTGCCAGGCGGAGCTGGTCCGACTGCGGCGGCTGCTGGAGGAGCGGGACGACGCGCTGGCGGTGAGAGGGGGGCCCAGGCTGGCTGGGGGGCAGCGGTGGGATGGGAGGGACCCGACTAGCACCACCTAGTGGCTGCAGCCGCCCTGCACCCAGCTGCCAAGGGGCTGCTGGAGGAACTGCAGCCGGGGGCAGGTTTGGCGCCACCCGCTGGCTGCCATGGGAACTACAACGGCTGGGCTCAGCCCTGTATTGAGTTGTGGCCGGTCTCGGGCTGATCTCGTGGGTTCTCCCCCCCCCGCAGAAGGCTGCCCGGGAGGCGGAGGAGAAGGACCGGGGGCTGCAGAAGCTACAGGCGTCCTGGCTGCAGCGTGGGGCCGGGGGCATGACGCAGACGCTGTGAGCAGAGGAGGGTGAGTGGGGGCACCGGGCAGAGGGGGAAGGGAGGGGAGAAACCACTGGGGGGGTGAAGGGGAGGGGGCAGGGAGCAGCTGGGGGGACAAATCTCTCTCCCGGGCTGCAGCTCAGCTCTGCCCTTGTCTGTGTTGCAGATCTGGGGTCTGGCGTGTGGGGCCGGCTCTGCCCCCCGCCAAGCCCCCACCGGAGATGGGGCTGCTGAGCTGGGACTGCCAGGGGCGCTGCAGGGGATCCCAGCTCCTCCAGCCCCGGCCAGGAGGAGGCGCTTCGCTTCGCTTGACGCTGACTCGGGATGGGGGGAGTATTTCCCATCCAGTAAATGTTGGCTCTGGGGGATTTCTGGCCCTGTGGGGCCCGCTGGCTGCATTGATTCGTGGTTCCCAGGAGGGGCGTTCCCTCGGCCGGCTCCCATCACTATGGGGCTGCTGTCCTGCCCCAACCTGCTTTGGATTAATTAACGAACCAGCCCCATTAATCAATAAATCATCTTTAATAAAATCTCCTTCCTACATAATGCCCTTCGTCTTTAGAGACAACCTGAGAGGTTCTATATACAGCATTTCCTTGGCTAAGCCGCTGGGGGGGAGGGCTGGGGAGGATTATTTTGGGGGGGGGTTGGTATAAAGGGGAGATGGCTTTTGATTATGATAATTCCTACAGCATGTGGCATGGCCTGGATTGGCCATGGACAGGAAGTGACACAGGTACAGACAGGAAGTGAGCCTGGGACTGAAAGGAAGGTGGCCATTAGCAGGATCAAGGGCGGGCTGCGGGCGGACAGGACCTGACCTGGGCTGAGACAGGAAGACGAGGGGGTGGGGGTTGGAAAAGTAAAATGGCCGACAGCAGCGTGCAATGGGGCGGATGGCACACGACAACATGGAGGAACCAGGCCGGAGAGGCGGCAGCCTGGACTACGGCACGGGCCGCCCCGAGTCAAATGGCCAACAGGAAGTGGAGCTAATGTGAGGGAGCTTGGCTGCAGTCACTTAAGTAGCAGGCTCAGGCTACAAATATGGCCGACAGGAAGTGACGCCATCGAGGGGAAGGTTGGCAATG